GGGGGAGTCATCGCCCACATCTGAGGAAACGTCGCTTGGGGCGGGGGGGAGCCCTGGGCAGCCAAAGTCTGGCCCTGTGCCCCTGCACAGCTCCGTCTGAGCCACTGCAAGCTGGAGGATGTCAGGAGGGAGGGGTGCGGCACGTTCAAAGAGCCGGCACAATGACTGCTCCCTCTGCTGTGGTCCCGCTTCAAAAGGCCTCCGCTGCCTCTCATGTTCAGCAGAGAGAGAGAGAGAGAGAGAGAGAAAGAGAGAAAGAGAGAGAGAGAAAGAGAAGTAAAGAGGCAGAGAATGAGCGAAAGAAGAAATGGAGGTTTGAGTTCTCTCAGCACTGGTCCAAGTGACGAAATCTGGAAGAAAAATAAACACCTCTTCCGTCTGCACCGTGTTACCTGGAGGGGCTTTTTTTCACAGATAAGGATCTCTTGAGGGGAGCGTTTTATAAGGTCAAAAATCCCCGCCTCTTCCAAAAGACTGCAGGGCCTCTAGGAGTCTCAGGGGTGAGGTGGGAGAGGAAGGGGGGAGGGCTGAGTGACAGAAAGGAAGTAGAGAAGACATCACAAAAAAAAAGCCAAGAGACTGGACCCTCATGGAGTTACCACAGCTGGTCAAACCACAACACAATAGGCTCGTGACTCAATCAAAATAAATGTTGTGCTCCAGTCTAAACAACCGGAGCATTGTAGCTTTATTTGTACTTATGCAAACATGGACCATAAGGGGCTGTAACCCCCGTCCCACGCCTAAAAACCTCTTTCTCTCAAAGTGTCAAAGCCAGGCCAAGACACGTTAAAGCAACATCCTTTAATTACACGTCCTTAAAGTGAGTGCTGAGAGGGTTGTTTTACTCCACAGAGCATGTTTTGTGAAGGTCAGGGGAGGGGAAGAACATTTCCGATTCCATTTCCTACCTAAAGTAACATTAGCCAAGGCGTCACACCGATTTAAGTCCAAATTTCCACCTCCTTCCTCAAACTTCTCTTTTTTTTGGAATGAAGAAGTGCAGTTTTGAAAAAAAAATCATCTTACTTCATGCATGCTGCTCAGAGCAAGACCCTAAATCTTTTTTTTTTCTCCTTTTTCTTCTTCTTTTTGAGATCTGGATTCCTTCCCCAATTATCTGAGGTCACTAATAAGGCAGGGTGTGGAGGCACTGGACTGTGCCGTGGTGGCCTGGAGGCTCAGCATCAAATTGAAACGGCTCGGGAAATGGAGGCAGACGCAGAATCTCGCCTAATTGCAGCCAAAGTGTGTGTATGTGTGTGTGTGTCGGGGGGTGGGTGGGTGTTGCAACTGATGAAGAGACAGAGAAGATGAGAAGCAACAAATAAAAAAAAGGGGAGAGGGAAAAAAGAAGAAAAGAAAGGACTGTGGAATGGAGACTGAAAGATGAGTGGCAGCGGAGTGAGACCGGGTAAACTGAACTACTGAGGATCGGGATTTTCATCTGGCCCTTTTCTTACCCTCCCTTTCTGCAAACACACTCACTCCTTCCATCTTCCTCTTCCCTCCCTGCTCATCAAAGACTTCTGACAGCTGACTTCTGGCTGCTCACATCAGAGGGAGCAAAGCGAGGGCATGACTGAGAAAGAGCCGAAGACGAGGAGGGTGGGTGGAGAGGAGGGGCCACCACCGCCCGAACAACACTTTCATTATATGTTTCTGGACCAGGACATGCACTAAGAACAGACCCTTCGCCGACATAACCATACGATATTGTTTCTAAATAATAAACTGGATGCCTCTGATTTCAATAAATTGAACCTCTTGCACCCAAAAACCTGCAGCATCGAGAGCGAAACTTTCATGGCCAGTGTTAGCTACACCAGGGTTTTTTTTAAAGAGTACAATTGTCTCCCCCCAGTGTAAAAAATGTGCAGTGGCTCAAATTGGAAAGCCTCGAGGGCGTGCATGTGTCTCGGCCAGATAAGTATCTGTGAATCAGTGGGGCTGACTCAGACAAAGGACTAACAGCACGACTGGAAGCAAAAACGGAGACAAACTAAAGAAAAGAGGAACGAAGAAGGAGTAAAGTATGTTTCCAGTGGGTGTTGGAGGGGAGAAGAGGCTAGGTTATGAGGTGATGAGAGAAAAAGTCTAAAGTAACAATAGAGTAAAAACTTCTTTATGGTAAAAAAAAAAAACCCAGCTGTGTGGCAGAACCAGTGTTCGACAAGCTAAACATAACAAAGAACCAAGATCAAACTAACCAAATGCTGCTCTGCAACCTAATGGAGAGAAAAACACATTAAAGTCCCTAAAATACACTGATATGAAAGTTTAGTCATGTTCAACTCAACTAAAAAATCTTTAAGATTTTATGGAAGTTTAAAATAAATCTACTGGAGAAAGGGAAGCATCATATTAAGTTGTCTTCAAAATCATTCTAAACATTTTCTCATACAGTGGAGAGACAGATGGGATGGAGGTTGGAATGGATGAGGAAAAAAAAGACAAATGAGTTCATTTAAAGATGCTTTTTGGCATCTACAGCAAGCTAACCTCAATCCAGCTCTTTGGGATCTGCATAAATTGAGGGCTCGGGGAGTTGTGGCAGTATCCTTGGTATTATGCATATTAGTTTAAGGCTGTCACTGAGAATCAGCAAGGGTGTCCATCCCGCTGCGGCTAGGCACTGCTAATTATTGGATCAGAGATAAAGTGTTTCTTTTTTCTCTTTTTTGCACTTATGCTCAGTGTGCTTTGAAAATCGTCTGTGTCCAAAAAAAGAAAGAAAAAAAAAACTAAAAAGGAACGGAAAAGCAGCCTAATTTTAGGTTCACAGAAAGCCACCGGGTCAAGAATCGATCAAGTGGAAAACCTTTGTTTGGTTTGGGCGATTTTGACCAGATTTGTCACATCTGCCTGGCTTGCACTGCTGCCAGAAGGGAGCGGAATAACAGGATGCTGCTGCGCTCGCAGGGAGGCAGAGAGAAGGCGAAGCAAGAGGACACGGAGAGCGTAAGGAAGATTGAGAGGAAAAATAGAGATGACTTAACCACACGGGTTTAAAAAAAACAAGCAGAGGATTTAACATTCGATATGAATCGATACTTCAAAATATCTTTCACGTGGAGGGAAAAAAAAGTGCCTCCTTCAATATAAAAAGCATTTCAGACACCCTGAGAGCCCAGTTACCATGAAATCTTATTAAGGTATAGCATCTCATTAAAGTTCCTGCCAAAGAAACTGCTGGATCCTGCTCTGCTTTACAAAGACGCAGAGAAAGACGACACATGTAGTCCATATGGGGCTGAGCTGACGACCTAGGCTCCACCAGCAGAAGGAGAAAAAAATAAAAATCCTTGGTGCATTCAAGTGTTTTCAGATGTATTATTTAGTCTATGTTCAGAAAACAGGAAGTAGAGGGGCAGCGGTTTATTACACATTTGTTTCCAAAAAGACTTCTAGTTTGTACACTTCAAAGTAAAATGCTTTTTACCTTTAATCCAACCAGTGTTCACACAAATACATTAAGCTAACCAGTATAGAGCACACACACACACATTCTGAGTAAACTCCACACACAGAGTCCAATTCGTCTACGGGCCTGAACACTTCAAACACAATGACCATGGTGGGGTTAGGGTGGACCTTTTTAGGATTAGTCTGTGAGCACAAGCTCTCAAAAGTCGGTGTTTAGCAATTTAAAAAGAAACTTGACAGAAATCAGAGTTGAACCAGACAGGGAGGGCATAGAGGTGTTTGTCTTACCATTTTCTCAGATGTACGCCGTTTTCATTCTCTGGCCTGTACCTGCAGAAAATTGCATCTATTTAACAAAAAAACTCTGGATGCATCTGGACGGTATAGATCATAACTGTCCATGTGGACTTCACAGTCCAAAACCAAATAAAAATAAAAAAAGTACTGACATTTTACTTAAAAGGTGTAATTCTCAGTGGATTACAGTTGGAAAGCTATAAGGAGGCTCAAAGCGCAGATAAACAAGGTCAGCAGGAAGACATACTGAAGTGCAGCAGGCAAACAAATAGTGCGAAGCCCAGAATCGGTAAGTACTCACAAGAATGGACAGACTAATCCCAAAGTAGGTGTAATGTGTGAAAGCAGGGATGGGATGCAGGCAAAGGGATGAAGGGATGTTCAGCAAAGGAAGTCAGGACGAGCCAGACAGTTGATAGTAGATGAGTTCGATTAATGTCTGGCTCTACTTATCAGCTTTATCTGCATTTGCTTGTCTTTAGTAGAAGATTAAGTAGTTATTCTCCAGTACTATGACAGATTATATGGGCTCCACGGAAAGATGAGCTACATCCTGACATCGGGACGCAACAAACAGAAGGAAAGGAGCTGCAGAGACGAGTTCGTACCTGGGGCCGATTCCTGCATCTTCTCCCTCTTCCGCTTCTTCTTCTTCCCCTAGAAATATACAGAGGAACGAGTAAAGTGTGGCTCCAGCACTCACGCTCACTAGACCACTCTGATATCCTGCTGCTGACTGCCATGTTCACTCATCCCCTGCTGGGCATCCGACCAGCATACTCCAGACTCCCAACTCCACCGCAAACCGCAACACTGAGAGGGGGCTGACCAATAAAAAGGGGCTCTACCTTTCCTGAATGTGTATGGATGTTGAACCAGTTTCTACTATTTTAATGTCAGTTGTAATTATTTCATAGTTGGATGAAGGTGTCTTATTATTTTTTGTCTTGAAGATGACAAACAGTAACTTACAATGCAATCAGAAATCAGTCCGGTGCGGCTCAGTGGCTCTGATGACCACCTTCTTTCAGGGAGGTGTTGGTGGAGACTTGTCAGAATTTATAGCTCTTTTAACTCCCCGAGGGGGTGACTATAGGTATAGATAGCAGCGTAGAGTCGTCCTTGTCAAATATGAGAAGCACTTTGGTTTCCAGCTGCAAAGTCTGTTAATCCACTTATTCATGAGCTAATCTGCCTTCTGCTGCGGCAGTCGAGGGAGAGGAGAGACCATGTGAGTGTGGGTGAGCGGGAGGATAAGAGAGAGGTGCTACGCAAATCAGATACGTCTGCTTGTGTGCTCTCCGTGCCAGCGCGTTACCTATTTTGGGGGTTTCCAGCCTACAGCTGCTGAGTTTGATGAGGGTGCAGTGAGAGAGCAGCTCTCATAAGGATTCAAATTTATCTCCAAGAAACGTTCTGCATGAGTCACATTTTTATCTTTCCGTTATGCAAAGTCAAAAACCATTCCTGTTGGAATTTTATTTGTCCCAACTACCAATCGAATGAACTTTTACAAAGCAAGCTACGAATTAAATAGGGTATAAGCAGGCCGTCATTAGCTGATGTTGAGTGTGTTTATATAAGATGTGTTTTAGTTCCCCCCAATCAGTGAAGCATTTCAACAGTGGAGCAGAGGAGGCAGAAAAAAAAAAGGCGGGATGCTGCCGATGTCCGAGGGGAGGCAGATAAACACCACAAAGCACTTCGGTGGTGGAGTGAACGTGAGTGCTGGAGCCACACTTTTAATAAAAGCTGGTGCTCTCTTTCTCTCAGAACCACACACACATCACATCACGCACACGGGGACAGGTTTTCGACAGGTTCCGATCACGCACTCACACACATCTGCACGCATACACGGACGGAGGTGCACTCGGAACACATCCTGAATCCTGCTGAACGAGGTGCATTCACAGTCAGAACAGGCAGCTGGGGGTTGGGGGGGGGGGGGGGGGGGGGGGGGGGGGGGGGGAAGCAGAGGTTGCTGCTGCTGAATGCTGCAAGAAACAATCCAGCCTCCTCAGCTCAGTCTAACAGCTGCTGTTACATCTGAAGCTTTATGCTGATATGGCACATCAAAGACTAGCATTACCATTACCAGGCAATTTTCACTCACAGCGCCAATAATAGTCGCTGCGACACCATGATCCATTTCAGTGCGGATGGCACTATAACAGTGCTATGAATTACACATTATGCTGAAACAAAGGGGCTCAAAATGGACCCCATTAGCATAGAGAAGGCTCGAGAGAGAGAGATCTTTTTTTTGTATGTGTGCCATTTAAGCAGGAAGTGATGCAACACAGACGTAAACAACAGAAATCCACGCACGCGCACCACTGCCAGTCTGTTCTGTTGGTACTTACATAATTGTCTCGAGCGGACCAGCCCGGGTACAGCTGCATGTGGAGCTGCCGTTCTTTGCGAGCTAACTCGTAATACTTAGCTTGCTCTTCCCGAGACAAAGCATGCCACTGTTTCGGCACAAAGGAGAACAGAACACAGCCAGTTATTGATAGAAACGTCTGCTGATGTTTTTGGCAAAAAAAAAAAAAAAAAGATAATTGATCATTTTCTTAATGATTAAGGTGAAGAAAAACAAGGAGGAAACACGATGGAGAGATGAACATGTAAAAGAGCCAAAGAGGGAAAGAAAATAATTTTATATCAAAACACTGCTTCCAATTTAACACTGCTTTCGATTCAAACTGTGTCAGCGAGTAATTACCCTGCACAGGCCACAGACTAAGCTTTGCTGTGGCTGGCTGCCTTGGCCTATTGGTTAAAGCTTTTAGCATGGCTCTGTGGTTCCACTCTTTTCCTCTCCAATCCTCAGAAAAGGGACAAATTTTGTCATTTCCGACCGTGCCATTATCCAGCCATATTTTATTGAAGCCAATTTGATTAAATGTCACTTAGATAGGCAGACCGTATCTGAGCAAACTTAACAACTCCTCTACAAACTGTCTATTTATTACAATCTTTGCATATTTGTCCTCCCAATTAGTTCTAGTTGTTAAGGAGCCTGCACTTTTTTTTTAGTGGTGATGTAGGTTAATATGTAAAAGTAAAGAGTAGCAGAAAAGCAAGAGAGACCTGCGTACGAGCTTTAGATGTGACCTACCCTTCGTCCCAGGATCTGATTGATGGCGGCGCTCTCCTTCAGCGTGCACTCGGCGACCACGTTCGCACGCATCTCTTTCATGTAGAGCATGAAGGCGTTTAGCGGCTTCTTGATGTGCGGCCTTTTGGGCTCTTGCTCTTTTCTCTGTTCGTGCTGGGATTTCCTGTTTCCAAAAAAAAAAAAAAAAAAAAGAAACACACAAATTGCGGTGCAAAAAATTAGAGCGAATATTCCGAAAGCGAGAGAATAAAGAGAGCTGAGCGACGGGAGCAGGAAGCCGTGGTGCCGTGATGGCGACAAAGGCGAGGGTCTAGTTGCTCCCAGCCGACGGCGAGGCAGCGTGAGAAGGGCTGCCACGCCGTGGGGCCCCTGCCTCTTTAATCATGTGCAGTTGTACACTCGCAGCCCTTCATGCCGAGAGATTATTTCACCATTAATGGCAACCAAACTTTGTCCACAGAACACTGGAAACTGCTTAAAGCCAAATGCTCCAACTCACACTGGAAAACCCAATGCTTTCCCTCGTGATTTACTTTCTGATGATCTTCTTGATACCAGAGCAGTTTTGATGGGAGCATGGCCATGAATAATAAATATAACACTTCCAGTAGCTGCGTACACAAAGTCAGTTCATCCAGTATCAGACACAAAGTTGTTGTCGGCTATTAATGTTGTTATTCCCAAAACTCTAACGGGGGTGTTCAGTGTGTTCAGTTTACAAATAGAGGTTTGGTGTTTTAGAAAACCTCTGATGGAGCAGCGATATTCTGAGATTTCTTTTGTGTGTGTCTGAGGAAGGACTCACATGTGCATGATGTCACTGTCGTGCGGAGGTTCTTGTTTGACCTGTGGGTTAACGATAGCCGGATGGGGGATCCCTGTGGCGTGGGGACCAGGGGGGCCGGGAACCATGTGGTGTGAAAACCTGCAGCAATGAAACACACAAATGTGTCCAAAAATTTCTTCTGAAAGCTCAATCAGCATGAGGCTAAACAGAAAAAAAAAAGATGAAGAATCTTTTGTTGTTTTTGTTAACATGCTTTGCATTTTTAAATTCACTATAAAAATATTAAACCTTTCATAAAAAAGAAGCAAATCTTTAAATGAACAACACTGCACATTGAAAATAAATATTCTTCAGTAACATAGACTTGTTGCCAGTTTAAATCTAAGATCAGAAAACCACTTTACTACTTCTTCTCAGAAACAAAGGAAGCAGGAGTTCCCTTTTTTAAGTCTAAACCTAATACTGTGACAAAAACGTGTAAAAATTCTGATTCAAAGGAATCAAAGAAAAAGGTAAAGAGGAAAACAACTGGTCTTCAGCTGCTGCACCTTGCATATGGTTTCACTCAGTGCATGCCCGAAACGATCATGCTGACACACAAAAGAGGAGACAAAGATATGCTGGGAAATGAAATGAAACGGCACAAGGAAAGACAAAAAAGCAAAGAAAAGAAGCAGAGTAAGATAATGAAAAAAGTACTCGACAAACACGAGTCTAAGAGAGGCAGGAGTGCTTCCAGAAAGCTTCGGTGGAGGTTAAGCAGCCATATGACTATGCGGGATCACACATGCAGTGATGTGTTTGACTTGTGCTGGGCTTCGCAGAGGAGCGGTGTGGTCGAAGCCACAGCAGCGCACCAGAAACAGCCAGAGGCAGACCTCCCTGTTGGAGCTGCCGCTGCTGCTGCAGACCAGCCTCTCTCCGTCCAGAGACACACAACACTCACGCAGCTACAGCGTCCGTGTGAGGACGCAGAAGAGTTACTGCTTCCTGTTAGCATGAATCAACAACAGCCCATGCTGTCGCCATCATCGGCCTGTGACTCACCATCCCAGGGGTGGCGTGATCTGCCCCACTCCTCCGGGAGACAGGGAGTAGAAGTTGGCAATTTCTGGTCCAGGATGATGCCTGGGCATTCCTGCAAAAAAAATAAATAAATAAACAAAAGTGGATTTAGGTTAAAAATACATATTTTTATTTTGTTTTTCTTAGTTCTTAATCAGAACGTTTCCCTCATTTCATTCCATTTAAGCAATCGTGCTAATTTATAAAAACAATATTTGAAATGTTTGAAAGTTTTAGAAACACTAGCTACATTTTGGCATCTGAGCTGTATTGGTGCAAAAGCCTGAATTGCAGACCTTGGATCTCATGTTTTAGAACACCTCAAGGTCTTACTTTTTTTCTTTTTACTATCAACTGAGTAAACTGAAAGTGAGCTGTGGTTACAAAGAGCTAAAAAAGAACCATCTCCACCTTCTCCAGCTTGCTTCTCCACAAATCAAGGACAGCCCGTATGTCAGGGCGTGAATGTGGCTCCCAGCTCTCACATTACTAACCAGTGGAAAAATTATGATTTTTTTTCTTCTTTTACTTTTTTTTTACCAGCTTTATTTTCATCCCGTGTGTTTCAGCATCTTCCAGCTGGATATCTGAGTCTTTTTCATCCTCCTGTAGACCCTGGATTGACATTGACTGACCGTTAGGACTAAGCTCCTCCATCTCCAGCTCCTACTGGGTGTCAAGGTCAAGGGGGTCTATTTTTGTGACAGAACGCAATAAAAAAAAACAGACTCGCAAGATGACGAACATCTGCTTCACTTCCTGCTTTCGTGTTTTACACCGACACGTCAAACGGAGCAAGTATAGATATGAGAAAATGCTCTTTGTGTGAAATGTTTCTCCATATTCACTTTCACACGAAAAAGGGGTAAACGCTTCCAGATTAGCTCCATATTCTAATCCCTGCAGGAGCCATCCTTTCCTCTTTGCTTCCATCTTTGCTTCATCCTCCTCGTCTCTCCATGCAGAGGTCTGAGGGGGCCTCCCTTCTTCTCAGAGAGGCAGTTCGGGTGGGAGGCTTAAATCTCCAAAGCCAGTGTTGTGACGCCGGATTCGTAGCGCGGATAGCGCGGCTCCCCGCTCGCTAATCCACCATCTAACACTCCTTTAGGGCCCTCCTGAAGAGGGCAGAAGGGAAGGAGGCAAGGGGAGAAGCAGCGGGCGGGGGGGTGATGGAGAGCCCTGGTGTGTTAACCTTGTCACTCACACCTGTATGGAATCTAATTATTCACATGTCTCAGATGATACCCGACACTCATCCTCACTCAAAACAAGCAGCACAAATTCTGCCTATAGTTGTTGTTTTGTTCCTCCATATTATTTTTCTGAACTAAACATAACGCAAGGTTTTACATGTAAAAATAAAAAAAATAGAAACGGTTTCCCCTCCCCCCCGCTCGACCTTCCATCCCACGCAGCAGCCCTGCACATATTAGAGCTCATAATGAGAAAATCCATGATTGTTTTTCATAATTAACGAGCAGATCAAAGTCTGAGCCCACTAAAGGAAGCAGAGCTACTGGTCGATACGAGGCAGAAAGAAAGAGCGAGAGGGACAGCGAAAAGAGACGAGGAAAAAAAAGGAGGGAGAATGAGAGAGATTTCATTTTAAGCATCTTCGGCTTAGCTCCACTGATACACATGAATATGCCTGGGGAAATCATTTGCAGCTAATTCTGCAACTGGATTGCTTGGACATGGATTTCTGTTGGACTGCAAGTGCATGGATCTAATAAAAAAACTCCCACTTCCCAAGGGGTGTTTTTTGCCCCCCATTTTTTTGTCAGAAACTTATATAAAAAGTAAAACGCTATACTTACAAAAAAAAGGATAAACGACAGTGATGGTGTTTATTGTTTTGTTGCTTGTTTGTTCTTTTATGCATCTATTAGGAAAAAAATATATATATATATATCCCAGCACATGTGTCAGATGCGTGGCATATGTGGAGCACAGTTTCTTTACTCGTTCTGCTCTCTTCATCTCCGCGTTATCGTCGCGCTCCGTTCCACATCATTATTTATAGCCGGTCCCTCAGAAGCTTCTATTCTCATCACTGTTGCCTACATCTCGTCTCTTTCGTCGTCCTTTTCAAGTGGCAGTCACAGAAGAAGAAAGCAGAGGAAAGTGAAAAGGTGCGAGACAAAACTATGCTTGGCCCACGTCTGTTTTTTTTTTTCCTTCCTTTCTTTCTCCAGCATCAGTGAGATGCTGCCAAAGCCTCCAGCTGTGCAGGGCTGAGGAGCTCGTCCAAACAGCAGAGGAGCTCTTCTGCAGCTGTCAGAGCTGCGGCTTGATGTTATTCCTGTGAGGCAAAGAGTGCGCAGGGAGAAGGGCAACAGAGCTCAGCGTACCATCCCACGGGCTGCTTCAAATGAGTCTGCACCAAAAGATGATAGAAGGATGACTTTACTGTGACACATTTCAGCGTGTGAGTCTCTGCTGATTCCTGACAGTGTTGACAGTTGTTAAAAAATAAATAAAATAAAAATACACTGAAGTTCTGCCTTGATTATATGATCATTCTCGAATCACTTCAACATTTTTAATAAAAGCTGTACTTACTTTGAAGACAAAGTCTTAAAATAAGAGTTTAAACAGCTATGCTTCTTTAATGATAAAATATAAATTTGATTTCTTTGTTACAATGCATGACAAGATTTGCTGTTATTACTTTGACATAGATCTTTACAGGTCATCATTTAACTCTTGGTTTTGAGTTAACATCTACATAATTACTTTGAAAAAAAGTGCAATAAAAGAAAATATAACTGAAAGGAAAGCCAAAAGATGGACTCAGATCGGTCCTCAGATCAGCAGATTCCCTGTTTGTAGGTATCAGGACTGGGTTTTATTTCTGATCCTTTAGCACCGGTTCACCTTTGAATACAATACGGATGATTATGTTAAAGCACATTCATCAGCCATTCTTGTTTCTCGCTTTGCTTCTTACCTTGTTTGTTGCTGGCATCCTGGGGGTGATGGCCAGAATGGGAGCCTGGAGCGAAGTGCTCGTCGCTGTACGTGATCAGCGGCGTGAGGGGGTGGACTGCATGAGATGGCTGCACAACGGGGACTTTGTTGGACTGTGGAGACAAAAGCAAATGGATTTAACAACAATACTTTTTGAGTTAAGACATGAGCTCCATCAGTTTTTCAGTATTAGCAATGTGACCCCCGTTCCCTGTGGCACAACACTGCTTAAGCTACTGGGGAAAATATGTAATAGTTAAATCACAAAGACTTTTTTTTTGTCTTTGAGGCCAGTAGCTTAAAACTATTCATTTTAGCCTAGGTCAGCAGGACTAAAAACCCCATCTCCTGAAAGAAAGAGGTAAAAAAAAGCTAAAAGTCAAAGAAATGTGTTGGCATGTTTAAGGGAGAAACAGAAAGAAAGATACAAACAGAAGAGGAGCCAATAGAAGCAAGCGATGGAGCAAAGAGAGAGAGAGAGGAGAGAAATGAGAGACTTGCAAGGTAGAGTTAGAGCAGAGGTCTGAGGCGGGAGATCAAAGGCAATCATTAGCTGGTGAATAAGGGGAGTTCATTACAGAGCAAGAGCCGGGGGAAGGAGAGATGAGGGACTGAGGGGAGGGGGGGCTGTCTGTGGTAAGAAAGCATGAGTGAGGCATATGTCTGCAGTGGTTTTTAACGTTGGGGTTATCACGTCGACAGTGGTCCAGCAATAGACCCCCCCACCCCCTCATTCCCAGCTGACTCACACAAACCTTTACGATACCTATTCACAACTGACACAACCCAAACTTAAACCCCTCCGGTTAACTGTGCCTTCATGATTCAGCTGCACCAAACACATGGGAACGCTTAGCTACGCTAAATCTACGACTCACAATCTGAGCCCAGAGCCGAGCCGGAGTCAAAATATCACTTCTACAGGATATATGGGTAATCTGAGAAACGTCACGGTTGAGTTAGGCACGTTTTAAAACAACTTAGCCTCAGTTTCATTAAAAACAGTAATTAAACACTTGACTGTTGCCGTTAAAGATGCTTGTTTTAATTTTAGTAGTGTGACTACAAAATATATTCAGTAGTTTCCAGCCTTTGTTTAAAGACTTGTATACCTAAGTGACATTCCTGGCATACTAAGCGGTGACTGGTGTCCCCTCTCGCCCACTCCCACCACACACATTTGCAATACGTGTCAAACACGGGGTGTCTGGAATGTCTGATTTTCTGTGCACCACTCACACGCTGGCACAGTCTTCCATTTAAGACCACCCTGCTCCTTTCCCTACCTACTTATAGGAAATGTTATGCAGGAACTAAAAAAAAACAAAGTGTGTCAGCGTCCACAGCCACAGTAACAAGTGGCACAAAATCCAACTCTGAATCTAATATAACTTGCTGTCCCTATTTTGAAATAAGTATAGAGATGCATAATCAGACAGGGGAGACAGTGGGCACTTTGAAATACTAAACACTGCCTGTTTCAAATAACAAATCTTGCCAGAAGACCAGGATCCTGAGCTTTTTCCCATCAGCCCAGGTGAAATAAGCTCTGTGGTTCTGTGACACCCCTCCTCCCGTCACCAGAGTCAAAGGTGACAAGATAATCTTTGGAAAGAGGGAGTGTCAAGCCTCATCCTACAGAGGGGAAGACTTCTTAATAAGGCCACTAAACCTAAAAGAGGGACTAACCAGGGATGAAGCGACTGGGCATGCCTTCACCACAGGCTAAATAACAGCATTCTCGCCCATATTATTTTACGCCTCTCCTCTCCCATTTGCTATCCTGTGGGAATGAGATAAGACTCTGGGAGATTATCACCATTGCTGATTCCTCTCCAACTTATAGTAGAACGAGGGGACAAAAAAATCAAGTGGAAACAAAAGTTGTTCTTTATGTTTTTACATCATAAAAAGGTGCAAAGTGTCCAACTCTCTAAAATAAACAGCTCTAGGTTTCTACCACAGCAAGAAACTCTTCTCTTGTGCATTTCCTGGTTACAGCTGTCAAATACAATTTTTCTCAGTTTCTTAATAAACTCTTTCTATTGTGATGGAGGGAAGAAGAAGAAGAACTCTACCATGAAATAACCTGCAGGCCTCTGTGACTAAAACTGAATTACTACTATTTGGCTGCACATTTACACAAACAACACAATATTTCCAACCACAGTTAATTTTTAAAATAAAAACAGTGAATTACCGTTTGATTTTAACAGCTTCACAGCACTCATTGTAATTTGACATGTGTATCCAAAAGCTGCATCAAGAAATCACAAATTTGTAGACCCAACAAGTCCTCACAGAACTTAAATTTTTGCAGCAGGTAGACTGTTTCTAAAAAAGTTAACATATCAGACAGTCCTTTATCCATATTCTTGAAAAAAAAAAGTTCCTCAAAGAAATGACATAGCTTTTCATCTTTCATGGTAAAAATTTTGACCAAATTTATACCAAGAAAGGACAAATATAGAGCAGTTATGTGCAAATCTTGTAAATCATGAGTTTGTGAACTAAGTCTTGTGATCTTGAGTCCTCTTATAGAACACTACCTACCATCAAGCAGAATTTCACCTCAAACTCTGTAAAATTAACTGAGGAAAAGCAATTTGTGTTAATTAAGAGATGGTGTGACTCCAACAGCAGATCCAAGAATTCATTAAAATCTGTCCATTAATTCATGAGATATTTTGCTGACAGATAGTGACAAGGTTATAACCATGCCTGTGTTTGCTGGTTTAAGATATATTTTACTAAAAACAAATACAGCAAAAACATTAACTCTTGTTGCCTTTAGAAGCGGGTAATAATAAGTCGCCGAAGGCACTCAGCTGACTCAGAGTGGAGGTCACGTCATGTGGACCAATTTGATTCCTTCTCATCCCCACCCTGACTCTGAAAACCCACAGTAGCCCTGTTCCAAAAGAATGCCGGCAATATACTGGAGGTCCCCTTTGTTGTACATGAGAAATAATAGGCTTAGGAACTGTCTATTCACATTTTTTTTCAAGTGTGTGCAAAAGAAAGGAGGTGGTGAGGATGGAAAAGCAAACGTTCCATTCGGAATATCATAACCAGGCTTGGCTGGTCCTTTTAAAAGGCCCTTCAGATGTGGTTTTAAACTAAATTCATTGTGCGGAACTGGAGTTGGCAGGAAGCCCTTGATGAACGAGACGCTCCAGTGTGTTTCAGATTGGGAGGCTGGTACGCTGGTTCCAATTGGGAATGGTGAAACAAAACAGAAAAAAAAGAAACAAAACAAAAAAAAAGTCTTTGTATTTTTTCCTCATATTCTGCTGCCATGATTGAGTGTTTATAAGGTTATGTTCTATATGAAGCATTTCTTCAATATTTCTTTTTTAACCATCCTTCCTCCTTGCCTCACAGCACAGCTTTTGTACTCCACTCAATTATACCACTTCTGCAGAGTAGAGTGGAAAAGAGGAAAAGCGGGAATTTTATAATAATCACTTCCCACTTCTGTAATTTATATGCAATGAGGACTCCTCATGCCTGCAGCTACAATCAAGAGTGTAGAAACCATGTGAGGTGTTTCACAAACAGCTGGGGAGATGGCAGCTCAAGTTGCGGTGATGAATTCCCATGCTGCTAAATCTATTCACTGAGAAGCCCTTCTCACCCACAAAACCCATCTTCACCCACTCTTGTGATTTTCTACGCTCCAAAAAAAAAAAATGGTGCACAAACACAAAAAAGGGCAGCTAATTTTAACTGGGGTGAGAAAAAAAAAACAAGAAAAGGATTGAAATATTAACAAAAGTTTGCTGTATTTGTTTTCCTTAATAATATAGGATTGCTAATTTCATCAGATCCCAAGCAGAGAAAACAGACTCTTTGAAAAAGGTATAATTACAGTGTTTGGCTACTGTTTCTGCACACAATGCTCTCATAGAAGAAGACAAGATTACAAAGACAAAGCCTTGGTAAATGCCAACAGTTTGAGTATGAAGCAGGGGTGTGCCCAGTTCTGGATTCCTACAGTCATCCCAAGACCAGGTGTTCACTCTCAGGTGTGTTTGTGTGCAAGTTGACCAGACTTTTTCCAACAAAAGAAAGCAAACATTGTGCTGTAGCGGCTTTATTGCACAGAGGAGAAAAATTACCTCCCTCCTTTCTTCACCCGTTTACCAGAAATCAGAGGAGACCAACCTGCAGAAGCTTAAATAAATAACCAATTACCATTCTCAGAGTCGGCTGAACCCTACCAGCTTTGAGTGAAGCGCTAAAAATGTTTCAGTGGCAGTACTGCCCCTTGGCCAGGCAAGTGGGGGGCTTTATGTAACGAAACCCAATTAATGAGGAAGAAAGCCAGGCTCCCAGCAAGCGAAGGAGTGCCACGCGCCCAAGGTAATGAGACAAACGGGCGAAGCCAACCATGGGGGCAGGAGCAAGGGAGGCTACGAATACCAGGAAAAGCCTGCCCTGGAGAGGAGTATACATCTGCTCTGCCTCCTGAACAATCCCGCTTTCTTCTTTCACTCTGATCAAAATCTCCGTCATGCAAATAAGAGTCTAAGAAGAGAAGCTGTAACATTGAAGGTCGCAGCCAGCTGATGGAAATGGCCACAAACTTGTGGCTGAATGCAGTTTGGTCAAACAAAAATAAACATCTACTACATTTTTTTTTTTATTTAAAAGGGGGTTTGTGGTCGCAAGGGACTTGTCATGCTTTCCCCTAAATACTAGTGCTGCAACCATATAGTCAGACATTTCAAATAAGCCTACATGACAGACACTGTACAAAAAACAACAACTCAAAAAAGGAATAAGCCTGTTTTAAATTTATGTTCACGGTACAACAATCAGAAACCAGGCAGCTAATGAGTTTAACACAAACGTGCTACATATGAACACTAAACAGCTGTTAGCAGGGGAAAAGTGTGTTTTCCCTTCCAAAAATCAGAACACCTAACTGAATAGGACGAGATGGATTACCCATCATCCTTCAGCTGGCATAGACAACTTGTGCTTGGAGCTACCCTTCGTGTCAGCTCTGTTACTGACAATCTGCACGTGCAAGGAAGATAATTTGTGTGAAATGTGCCTGCCCCAGATGAAAAGACTTTATCCCCTATAAAGTGTTCAACTCTTAATT